GGGAGTGAATGGGTGTCTGTTGTTTGTGCGGACTTGTCTAATTTCTGAACAGGAATAATGAGTCCAGATGAGCTTGTGAAAGGCACCACAGTGTAGCTCATCCTCTCTCCCCACCTGGCCTGCTCCTCTTGGCCTACCCTTTATTAGCTTTTCCTAATGCTGGACACAACGGGAACAGCTTGGTACCCTCCCTCCTCCTCTCTTCAAAGCTGACACTTCTCCCAACTCTATTTTCTTGCTAATTACATTGTTGTATGAGAACCAAACCGCTACCTAACGATTCTCCTAATTGCAAAAGTGGTGCATTAGATGATATCAAAGGACCTTTTTAAAAGTCATCCAGTCCCATTTCAAGCGGCATTTCGAACCCACCCAAGACATCTGTTTTATTTCTGTATCATTTGCATTTTTAAAGGTTAGAAACTGAATATAGCCGCAAGGGTGTGAAGCTACACGTCAGGACCCAGTGTCTTCATCCATTTGTGATACCTCTCCCCCCGATTATTATAAACATTTAGTACACAGGCAAGCTCATAAAGTGCATGTCAGAAGATCTGAGTCACTTGGTATCCAATTAAAATTGCATCAGCCTGCTCTAGAGTTCAAGATCATTTGTGGAGTTCCAGGAATGTGAGATTGCCAACTACATGAAAAGATTGGCCAAATTAAAATTTTCTTCGGGATCCTGTTGCCTCAGGTGTGCATTTTCACACTTAAATATATACAGATAGTTGCAGTGTTAGCAACTTGTTCAGCAGCAGTGGCTCTAGGAACAATTTCTGACAGAGTCTTCACCATGATTTATGAACCAACTCATTGACCTACTTTAGTCAGTAGAAAAAGAAAGAGGGACACACATATTAATGCCCATAGTTATATATTAATCTTATATAGCTGGTTCATGGAAAGGAGATATTCAGATTTCCTCTTGGCAAAATGTTTAGAGTTTCTTTGCACTTTTAATTTAGGCAACGGCTGTAAGGAAATCAATTTTTTATAACATTTTTAAAAAGTAGATTGGTGTTAATACTCCTATATTTTGTGATGCAAACAAAAGTTGTTAAATATTTGATGTGTTAGACCAATACAAAGTATTGATTAAGAGGAACTAAAAATATTCCTTCAACATTTTTTTTTTGTTTTGACCGTCTAGAGACATCTTTCACTCCAATAACAGCTTTGTCTTTTGTGGTTTACTTTTACCAGCCTAGCACATCAAAAAACTGCTGTTTTTTCTACCTTTCCTTAATTACAAAATTACTGGCTATGTCAGTTGAGATGGTTTATAAACTCTTAAATTAGGGGATACCCCATATATTTAAATTAAATTTAAGTCTTGGCTTTGACCAGATGTTTTCCTGTTCAAAGGTAAATGCCTAGGGTCTTTTAGACTTAGACTTAAACTCAACTTTATTTATCCCTTGGGATTACTCCTTCCCCATATGTGCTGAAAAAAATCAAACAAAAAAATCCCCACTGCATTTCGTGGTGCAAGTAGGCACGGCTTCCACTTCCAGTGTAATCGAGGGGTTAGACCTCTCCCTACTCTTCTGTTTTTCTCCCCCTTAGCTAGAGTGGTGTCAAGCTAAAGATGTTCCACTCCACAAAGAAATGAGTTAAGCTGTTTTTTTAAGTTGTAATTCAATTAATTCATAAGAATTTTGTCCAACCACTGCTGAACGTTGGGGGGGGGAATGGTGTCCCCAATACTTTGAAGCAAAAATAGAGGTAGAGGAGGACAGGTGGTTGGTGTGGGTGGTTGTTGGATATATCATACTCTTGGCGCAACAGGGAATTAGATTTAGATGTGAAATCCAATGTGCTAATGACTTTGCACTTAAAATCACTAGATGAATGTCGGGTCTTAAGGAAACTAATCACTGTAAAAAGGCCCCATGTAGAGGGATTTAGCATTTCTCTTCACCTCCTTCTACTGCTTAATTTTTCTCCATTAAGGCTGCTGACCCTGGGTAGAACTGTTTATCCTGTTCCGATATGGGCCTGTGCCTTAAGGTGGAGATGCTTAGGTTAACCACAACAGAGCCACTAATCTAGGCTGGAGATATCTGCTTAAGACTAAGAAGAACTTCCACTCCAAGTAGAAGCCGCTTATTTATCCCTATTAGAGCCATACACCCATGTTTGAAATGTTCAGTTTATTATCAAAAGGCCACCAATAGATGGTGGAGATGCTCAACTCCATCAACAGGCTAATGGAAGTAAGCAATTATTACTCTCCAAGTATTAAAAAAAAAAAAATGTATGAGGCAACAGGCAAAAGAAAAATGTAACACTGAAGCTGCAGCATATTCAAAAGTGAGAGTAAACAAGAAAATGTAATTATACTTAAGTAGAAGTAAATTTCTGTTTCAAACGGACTAACTATTTTGTTGCCCTTGGCAGGACACTTATCTCCCTCAAACACCAATTCAATAAATCAACTTGAGGACATTTTTTATTTCATATCTCTTACATTACATTTCATTAAAATTTCAACAAGTCATTAAGGTCTTAATATAATATAATACCTTCATTTTTCCATTTTCTTTCTCCTCATCTCAGATTTCTTAAACGTGCCTATGGGGAATTTAATCTGCTCCAATCATTTATATTAAAATCGCTCTACTTTAATAAAACTTTATTATAGTTTCAGATTCTAATTAATTAGCAGATAGTTCTTTAAAACTAAATGAAGATTTCCAAAGTTAATAACTGTTGGAAGAAGCAAACTTTTGACTCTACAGTGATCAATGGTTGGATCACGTTCTAGACATCTAGGTAAAAAAAGGAATAGTTGTATTTGTTCTATTTACATCTTTTCCACGCTTCATCTTTGTATTATTTTAGCCACAAATATAATCAATTGATAATAGTTTACGAGTGAGAGAAAAACAGAAAGCAGTAGTAATATATTGCTTTGGTTTTTTCCATTGTTCTCGATACTGGCTCTATAGGTCAATCCATCTCATGAGTTCAGTTTTCCTTTAATTTTAAACCCACAGACACTCTATTGATAAATATTTATTTAACCTGTTGTTTATTACTTTATATTTAAAGCTAGTTTATTAAAATTAAATATAATAATATAATCATGGATACAGATAAGTCCTGATCATATAAAAATGCTCATATTTTACAATTCCATTAATTATATATTATTTAAAGGAGAATATATGTTGCTACATATACATTTGTTGTGACTCTGATCCACTTTTTACCCAATCCAGGCTTTAGAACCAATTGGTACAATGGCAAATAGAGTCACTTATTTTAGTCAGACCAACAACCTCTCAATATACTTTACACTAAAAACATATTCACCAGCTGCACTCACAAACCTGCACACACAAATAAAAATAAGCTGTCCAAGGGTACACCAATATGTGGTAAGGTAATGAAGCTGGCATATTACCCAAAATGCAGCCAACAACTTTTTAAATGGAACATGATTGCTCTTTCTATTGAGCCATAGTTTCCTGATGACAGTTTACAGTATATCTTGTGCTAAAAACAAAATAACTCTGAATGACTGCAATTTATGTAAAGTGTACAAGAAACTGTTGCTTAAAAAAAAGATAACCAGTTCCTATCACATAGTTTGCACACAATATGCCAAGTAAAACCAACCATGAACCAATAAGCAATCATCCTACAATTCTAGCATTCTAGAAATAGTTTGTGTATAGGGTAACTACAAGCTATTATATGAGTTACTTTTGTTCTCTTTTTATCTTGAACTGAAGACGCCTTTATGATTAAAGGCAAAATGTCTTCTAGAAAACTTCACATCCAGTTGCCTAAGCAGAAATTTTCAAGCTTGACCATGACCTGGATGACAGAGAATCTTCAGAGATATGTTACCACTGATATGTTGGAACAAGAGCTGGGAGTACCTCCCCAATACCATATGGTAAATGAAAAGAAAATGACGATGGGAAAGTATTTATTATTTACAAATGTTTTTCAAGAAAAATATTCTTGACCATAAGTTGGAGGGACTGGTTCGGGGCCCAACCTCCACCCAGAACAACTTACCCGTTTGTTCCCCCGATTGCCATGTGTGGTTTTGGTCAACTGTTAACAGCCTTTAAACCACCAAATATTTGTTAGTTTTAAACTATAGGATGTTCAATACCTCCCCAGTGAGCCCTAAATGTAGTCTGTCTTGTGATCCCTTTTCTAGGTCTTGCTTGAAACACAAAGCTATAATATTAAATGTCAGGTCAGAACAACAAAAGAAAATAGAGACTTCCCACGCCACCTCATGAACTGTTTGAGGTCTCTGGGACAGGCTGCATGGAAAACCCAACCTAAGCCTGCTGGGGGGAGTGCAGGCTCTTCTTCAAAGGTAATTTGATCCACAGATCAAGTTCTGTCTGTCATCAACACAGTCCAGACAGCTTGAACCAAATGTCCATCAGGAGCTGTCCCTGTCATGCTACCCCCACTCACCAGTGAGAGACCCAATGTCTGCTGTGCCATCCTGTCTCTCTTAGAGACAGACAGATGCTTTATGTCCAATCTCAGAGATCTGCAGACAACATCAAAACAGCTCCCCTGAGCTAAGCATGTATCAAATTCATCAGATTTATGGCTGAAGAACTCTTTTGCCACAACTCATTACCCAGCTAACAACAACCTTTTAGAGACCTCAGGAAATCATTACAGAATCAGCAAACAGAGAACAATGAAAGCATGATGAAATCAACTCTAAGAATAATGTAATTACAGTTGCCTCAAATTAAATGCTGATTTGTTTTCTCTTATTTCTAATGGTAAACGCAGAGCAATTTCCTAATACAAATTATGTTTGCAAAAAAAAATGGAATCTTATTAACCTGAGAGAAAAACTCATTTTTTGTTGGTTATTATTATTATTATTATTATTTATTTTTAATTTTATTTTTTTACTACAGCAGTAGTAAGAGTTTTAGTCCAACAAAAGACATGGCATAATTAGAATATGTGAAGACTGAAGATGTGATAGTATTGTAACTCACATGCTACTTCAAGAGATGCATTACGGCTGACGGCTTCCCCCAGGTAGTTCCGGGCCACGCAAACATAGGCTCCCTCATCTGGTTTGCTCCGTCGTCCGTGAACGACGCGCAGGAAGAAAAGCGAGCCAGACGGAAGCAGCATGCGGTGTGAACGTGGTTCATCTTTGTCCGTTTCCACTCGCTCTCCATCTTTATACCACTCAACTGTTGGGATGGGTCGCCCTTCAGCTTTACAGTTGAATGTGGCAGGCTCCCCTTTAGATACAATCAGATCAGAAGGATGCTCCACAATCCGAGGTGGGTAGTCCTCGTTCCGCAGACGGGATCCTAAGGTAAAAGAAAAGACAAAGGTAATTTATTAATTTTTTTCTAAGATAATTATAGCTATGATTTGATTTACAGACATTTTTGTTCATTCATATGCACAGCTTATGTTAATTCAAATGCCAATATGAGAAAGATTTCTCTCTCCTGTAGATGGTTCCAAAATTTTTACACTTTGCTGATAGGGACAGTAAGTTGGCCTAAAGGCTTTGTATTGGATCTAGCCTACTCTTATTAATGTCAACATGGTAGATAAGAAAATCACCAACCTGTTTTTAAACAAAGTTAAACATCAGAATTTTACCAAAAGCTTTAGAGCTGCTTTGAGCTAAAATTAACCAAATCCAAAAAGCATCCTTGCCTGTGGTAATAATAGTCAAACCAGATAAGAGATGAGACTGAAGTTTGAAGCATGCAAGGTTTAATAGACATCACTTTGAACATATTTCACAATAGACATCTACTCTGGTCAAAAGTAAATGGGTCATCTTTAGAGTACTGTGACTGGTGTCTTTGAGTTTTGAACCAGGCCACAAAAATAATGGAAACAGAAATGTTTTGTTTTTTTTGTTTTTTTTAAAGGAGGTCATACGTTAATCTACTGTCGCTCAGCACCATAGCCACTCCTTTGCATTAAGGTTGCAGGAACTGAGCTTTCAGAGTCTGGTGAGTAAGATAATGTTGCCCAAATCCTGGTGCCTGATGTATCTGTAATCAAGTGTTGAGATAGGGCACTAAGGGCCATATGCATTTACATGACAGAGGCCATGGAAGCTATGCAAAAATCAAACAGTCTAATAAGCACACAAATTCAAAGTTCTACTTTAAAATATAGGGAACAAGGTTAACATTTCCAACATTTAACCAAAAGGCCTTTCTTTTTTCACTTCTCAAATCACTTAATGTGATTTAGCTGGCAACAATGTGCTAACCAATCAGGACTTGGATTAAGTTGAGAGCTGAGCGTTTTGTCAACAAATGAGTTGCATGATTGACCACAGTTGATGACTATGACCTTCCCCGGGGGAGTGAACTGGGCTAATAGGACAATACATGTTGTACTTATGCCTAATGTACTACAAAGTCCTTTGTGCATGCGCTACAGCGACATAGGTTTTAAGGAAGGCTTTAATCCTTTTTCAGGCTATGTTTGTAAATGTCTTCATTACCTCTAACATTACATCTTTAAACCACACCCTTACAACAGAACAATTAATTTTAGAATCACAGTTATCAGCACAAATGTCCCTCACAGTTAAAGTGGCTGTACACACACAAACACACGCACCCCCCCCCAACACAAGCCTTTTCTCAGCACAAAAGTGCAGCAACCCACCAGCCGACAGGAATCAGCCATCAGACAGTAGCATATTGACCCATGAACAGGAGGTAGTCTGTTCTCTCTTCTTCCTAATTTCGGCTAATTCCCTCCATTTCCTTCGTCATTGATTAGTGATCAGGCCTCGTGTCTTTTGCCAAGTGGGGCTACAGATGGCCGTTTGTGCACTAGTGGATGGCGATAGCTTGTTCCCACAGCTCATGATATAATCTTACTGGCACTGAGTTGAAAGATTAATGCTGTTTTGATAAAAATGAGAACAAATACAGAACACTTTTAGATATTATTCATTCAATATTTAACTATAAACTCTACCATATTTTGTAGACAACTTTCTGTTAAGAGTAAGTTGGAGTTGTGACAATGTTAGATTCAACCTTCTAAAGCAGCCCAGCAGTTTTTTACCATGACATTGATTAATTGTGAGTGAGATAAACAAGTGATGGACACTCTCTTTTCCTTTGAGGAAGTGTTGAATACAGATTTATTTTTATCACACTGAAGCATCCCCTCACAATAATCCACAAAACCCTGATGGGGCTTCCGCTAAGGCCAATGCGCATGCAAAAAAGAAAACTCTGGCCACACCATTCGATCTATATCAGTCTAATTTTTTTTAAATCCAATTTGTATTCCAATCCACTACGCTCTAATCACGTAAACCTCAAATCTCCATCTGCTCTGTTCTTTCCTGTGGACATCAACACAGCAGATGCCTCTACTATTGTCCTTTCACTGCCAGGGAAAGTGGAGTTAGGTGCACAGAAGGTCCTACATAGATATGTAATGTTGTTATTTAGTTGGGAGAGTAAGGTGCAGAGGCACAAAAGATTAAAACTACTAATGTGTGTCAAAAAATATACACTCGTTTAACGCTTAAACTTCCAGCTTTTCACATTTTGTTAAATGAAAATAATGAATTCTAAGGATTTCATTTGAATTTTTATTGAAGATAAAACAAAAGCTAGTTCTTAATCTTTTATGCATATGTATTTAGCCAAATTTGATTTAGGACCGCTAAACATTATGCACAAAATGGACATCAAAAGTCGCCAATTTAGTAAATGGGTTTCATCTTGGGGAAATTTAAACACAGCTATTCTTTTACATCTAAGCTCTGTTGGAGAAGTGCCATATAGGTTTCTTCTATTTCTAGTTCTTTTTCTATTTTACTTCACAGTAATACACTACACTAATAGGGTTATGACATAAAACCCAATAAAAGCTGGAAATGTAACAATACACAATGCAATGCTAATAGAGTATGAAATATGTTAAAAGCACTGTTAAAACTAAACAGTTTAATTAGTCTTAATAGTGGAGATTTTAAGCATTTAAACATTACCTGCGGTTTCATTTTGCAACAACAACATATCTGAATGAGTCTGCATATGACAAGGCCATTCCTAATTGTTATCCTAGAGAATTAGATAAAGGGTTTCTTTTGCATCTCCAACCATTTTAGCACTCACAAGTAAAATTACTTTCCAGTCTCCTATTGGGCCCCTTTACCCCTCTCCCTTTGCAGAAAACGGGCTTCCTGTTGTCCTATTAATGTGATCATTGGTGCTGTACAGTCAAGTGCTCTCTGAGCTGAGGTGAGTGCACTTCAATGGGGCTTGGGGCACACGCTCCAATCAAAGATGCTGTGTTTCCCCCTGTCTGCAATAACACCACCTTTACTTTACACCTTGCTGCTAGGCAGTCACCCGCTTCTAGAGGAAAGCATGAACCAGAGAGCAAAAAAAAAAAAACAGAATGCAGACATAGAATAAAACATTCAGTGATCTGGAAACTGTTTTTTGTTCTTTGCACCCACCTATGTCCACTTTATTTAAATTTAAATGGTTGCAGTTTTCTTATCAATTTGCATTAGTCAAACATTCCTTTCATGCTTCAAAGGAGAAAATACACTTCATTGGTGTAATTATGGTAGACTTCTCATTTTCCAGAAAAATCTGTTTAGTTTATTAATTCAGAGATAAAACATTCTTAACTATGCCTCCAGCTACATTGACCACACACAGTTTGGCTTTGTTTTCTATTATCTTTGTCACATATTTATTCATGTAAGCAACAGCAGGTCAGTCCTTTGATGATCTTTTTGTAATTATTTTTATTAGCTCCCTTGAGAAATTCTACCCTACAAACCGAATCAATACCCACACCAGTCTCAAGCAGAGCATAAAGAGAAGAGTTCCCCAAAGAGATATTACTTATTCTGCCAGCAGACATTTGCTGATCACAAGTAACCAACGGCAACCTTGGACCAAGGCAAAGAGTTCCAGCCACAAAGGTGCTGTAAAACATCAAATAGTAAAGTCAAAAACTGAGTTGTAATAGTGCAGCGTGATAAGACATCTTCTCATTAACAATGAGGAGCTGGAAATGAGCAAATTTATATGTAAAAAAAGTTACACTGATTTTTAGACATTTTAGGATAGGACAAAAATACTATCTGGCCAATGTATTAATCTCCCTTAGACCTTTTCACATTTTGAGAACAGGGTGTATTTTATTGGGATTTGTGACAGACCAACACAGAGTGTGGCGTAATTGTCACATTTTAAATCTCAACATTTTAATGGAGAGGATCTGAAAACATCCAACACTTTGATGAAGATTACCATTTCTTGCCGCAGAGTAGATATTGATTTTGATTGGGCCATCCAAGCCATGCAGAGGCTTCGATCCAAACCATTGCATTTATGGCTGTATTCTCGTGTTTGCTCCTCTGCTATAAGATAAACCTTTGCTTAGTAATTAATGGCAAGAAATGTATTATTAACTACGAATAACTTTAATCATTCTGTCATCCTTTATCTGCCCCTGCTAAGGAAAAGCAAACTAGCACTATAATGTTGCCGCTACTCTATTCCACCACAGGGATTGTGTTTTCTGTGTTTTGTGCCATGTTAGCTTTATTCTCAATATATTCTTCTGCATACAAGTGAAAGCCTTAATCTTGGTCTGATCTGACCACAACAGCATCTTTTTTGTTTGCTGTGTCCCCAGCATGGGAATGCAAATGGGTCTTAAAAAAACTTTTCTATAAAAAGCAGACTTTTGAGGTGGCAAACTATTATTTGTTTAGTTCACAGATTGTCTCACTTGAATTGTGAATGCCTGCAGCTCCAGAGTAATTATAGGTCCCTTGGCTGTTTTTTCTTGCTATTACTCCCCTTGTCCAGCCTGTCAATTTATGTAGACAGCCATGTCTCGGTAGGTTTTCTATATTTACGTATTCTTTTGATTTCTAGGGATGGATTAAACAATCTTGTGTATCATAATTTTTTAACAACCTTCCTTTAAATATCCATACAAATGCACCAATAATCTGTTCCTAAAGGCATGTCACACTGATTACTAACTAATATTATTTAAAAAAAAAACTCAGATGCCTTTATAGAACAGCTTAATTTGTACTGAGTTTAAATTGCACATTAGTGGCCTCTAGGAAGCAGGATGCACTTGATATTATTTAAATGTATCTGAGTAAAGGGGACTGAGTACAGCCAACATTTCATATTTTTACTTTTCAAAATTAACTACCTGCTATGTTATGTTAATCCAATCTGTTGCATATGTCAGATTTGTATGTTTTAAAATAAACATTACTTATATCTCTTTCCACTTAGCTTCCCATTTCATTTGGTTCTATCGA